ATGTACAGTTGTACACCCACCATTTCTTGGTGGAGTTTTCTTTCCCGCTCTGGTCCCACACATTCTTCTACTCCTCCTGCTGCCCTCTCGCCTACTCCTCCAACTTTCATTCATTGACTCCTCCTCCTGCGCCTCCTATAGCTTTTATTTTTCTCGTCTTCCCTCTCCTCCCAGCGACGACTTTCTATTTCCTTTTATTCTGAAGCGCCTGCGACTCTCATCGAAAGCTTCATCCGTCTATCTATCTATCTATCTATCTATCTATCTATCTATCTATCTATCTAGTTTTGTTTGCATCTATCTATCTATCTATCTATCTATCTATCTAGCGGCGCCTGCACTCATTCATCCACTTGTTCATTCATTTGCTCACTCATTCATTTATCTATCCATTCATATGTAGAAAACTTGTTGTTTTTTACCTTTTTCAGCCGACAAGTAAAACTAACGCTTTTCTCTTCACACTATCATCCAAGTTTCGCCGGCTTTATTCCGTAGATTTCCAAGCGCGTCTTTAATATTTCTTTCTTTCTTTCTTTCTTTCTTTCTTTCTTTCTTTCTTTCTTTCTTTCTAACCGCCACCACCGTTGTCTCAACATTCACGTACAGTAACACACTACCAAAACAAGCAGATGCAAATACTTGCTTTTTTTTTTTAAAGAACTGGCCAACAACGCCACTCAAACAAACCGTAGTCACGTCTACATCTTCTCTGTGACCCCTTATGTCCGATTCTTTGACTCTGCGACTCGCTAAATCCTCATTCATAACAGGGGTTGTTTTTTGTTTTGTTTTGTTTATTTTTTAATCTTTTTTTTTTTTATTTAGTTTTCTTTTTGTGATTATTATTATTATTATTATTATTATTATTATTTAGTCGTGTCGAATGCTCGGTTGATTAGCATCGGCCGGTTTATCGTGTTGGAGTCGACCGTTTTTACTTCGGTCCACGCGTAGATTTGACTTTACTTTTTTTTTCCCCTTCTTTCTTTTTCCTTCTTTCTTTTTCTTTCTTTCTTTCTTTCTTTCTTTTTTCAAATTTGCGTCAGCCCTTTTAATCGGAGGTGGATATATAACTTGACACGATTCTTAACTTCTGAGGTTCTGTTAGAGCAAGGCCGTATCACCAACGACTGCTGTTGTGACTTTAACTAACATTTCTCCGAATTACACCTGGAAACACCGTCGTGACGAATTCATTGCTAAAAGAGCGCACATTTTTCCATCTCTCTCTCTCTCTCTCTCTCTTCATATATATATATATATATATATATATATATATATATATATATATACACGTATGTTTCATTTTACTTAGTGTTTTCACACCACAAGTACCTGGCAAGAGTAGATCTCAAAATTTATTTAATTTTTATTATTATTATTATTATTATTATTATTATTATTATTATTATTATTATTATTATTAAACCGGTGGTTGACGCTGGGGAACGCATCACGATAAGTTGTCAAATATCAAACAGTCCCTATTCACAGCGGCTTCAACACTGCTCATTTCAACAATTTTTCCTTTGTCCAAACAAATTTACAAAAAATATTTTAAAATATTAAAAAAAAAGGAAACCAAAAAAAAACAAAAAAAAACTAAGAGATAAAATATTAATCGATATGTTTAAATACATACGGATATTTTGACCAATTTTAAATTAGAAAGTTCTTTCTCAGCCGGTACACGCGTATAGACAATTCTGTTTGGGGAAACCTCTGTATATTAGGGGAAAAAAATACAGAATTATCAAGAAAAAAAAAGGAAAAAATTGGAACACACATCTTCGTTTAAATACATTCACCTATGTGTGTGTGTGTGTTCATCAAGATGAGGTTACATATGTGTTGCAATACGTTAAAACGGAACTCCACTCAGGGAAATATTTCTGGATGCGGAAAAATTTTGAAGGTGATATATGTATAAAACGATCGTGAATACGAATTAAGGAAAAAATCGTATTTTTTTTTTCTATTAATAAAGAAGAATAGAAGGAAAAAAAAATGTGGAAAAAGTAAAAATTAAAAAAAAAAAAAAAAAGCGAAAAAAGGAAAGTCTTTGAGATTTGAGAGTAATTGTATTGTACACTTTTGAGAAAAACGGGTATTCAGGCCAAGACTGAACCGAAATGGAAAAAATACGCTCGAATGCTGAACGAGAGGCGACATAACGCGATACATAGACACGTGATATTATTATCAAGTGAGTAAAACTTTTATTACAATTTGTTTCATTCTTTCGTCCGTTCAGTCGACTTTTACGCTGAACCTCTGCACTTTCTTTCTTACTTTCTTTCCTTCTTTCTTTTTCTTTCTTTCTTTTTTTCTTTTCTTTTCTTTTCTTTTCTTTTCCTTATTTATTTTTTCTCTTTCTTTCTTTCTCGTCTGGCGACTTTCCATCATCATCATCATTCACACCATCGATTGTATCTTCGTATCCAGAAACCTGGGTGAATCCCAGGATATCAAGCGACAGCAAGTATTCTCACCTAGCCAGCGTTCTAATCAATAACGTCGCAGAGTTCAAATTATTATTATTATTATTATTATTATTATTATTATTATTATTGTTGTTGTTGTTGTTGTTGTTGTAAATGATAGTCACTCACTGTATGTTCGCACTAATTTAACTCCCCAACATTTTCCATCTTATTTTGTTTTCAGAAAAACCATGGATTATTATGGTTCCAACTCTTATCCTGTAATATAGTTTTCCCAGTGCTCCACTAATTACCGGTACGATAGTCACCTTCGTATTCCGTAACTTCCTCAGCTCTCTGGCAAGGCCAAGATACTGATCGATCTTCTTCTTCTTCTTCTTCTTCTTCTTCTTCTTCTTCTTCTTCCTCCTCCTCCTCCTCCTCCTTCTTCTTCTTCTTCTTCTTCTTCTTCTTCTTCTTCTTCTTCTTCTTCTTCTTCTTCTCCTCCTCCTCCTCCTCCTTCTTCTTCTTCTTCTTTTTCGTATCATTATTATTTTTTTTCCTTTGATTTCTCGTGTATACTCATTTCTTTCCGAGTCCCAACCAGAGATCTAAGGTCAGAAATGGTATCATGACATTTTCCACTGAGTGTCTAAAAACAAAATTTAAAAAAAATAAGTTCACACACATAGATTAAGGTATGTTGTTGTTATTATTATTATTATTATTATTATTATTATTATTTTAAATGATAGTCACTCACTGTATGTTCGCACAAATTTAACTCCAGCATTTCCCATCTTATTTTGTTTTCAGAAATACCATCGATTGGATGGTTCCAACTCTCCTTCTGTAATATAGTTTTTCCCAGTGCTCCACTAATTACCGGTACGATAGTCACCTTCGTATTCCGTAGCTTCCTCAGCTTTCTTGCAAGACCAAGATACTGATCGATCTTCTTCTTTATATTTTTCTTTTTCTTCTTCTTCTTCTTCTTCTTATTCTTATTATTATTATTATTATTATGTTTCTTTTGATTTCTCGTGTATACTCATTTCTTCCCGGGTCCCAACCAGAGATCTAAGGTCAGAAATGTATCATGACATTTTCCACTGAGCGTCTAAAAAACAAAATTTAAAAAAAATAAGATCACACACATAGATTAAGGTATGTTATTGTTATTATTATTATTATTATTATTATTATTATTATTATTACGTAATATATTTGCCTGTTCTTGTAAGATGCCTGGTTATTACTGATGGTAATTAAGTGACAACTCCCCAGCAATTTTTTTGTCAGCTTTCTTACTATCCTCGCTGACAACAATAAGTCTTTATTCTTCCTCTAATCCACATTCAGTTCTAGCGTTTTTTGACATCGTTCCAAGTGCGCCTACTATTATGGGTACGACCTTAATCATCAGTATATTCTTTCTCGTGCTACCCCACCCCCCGTATATTTCGCCAGTTTCTCTCTTGCTTTCTTCATCTATTATTATCAATAGTATCAGTTCACGTCTTCACATGTTCACGCCAGATGCCTGCTCGTTATCACTGCAGTCGGTTGCTATCGGTGAGGGATCAAGTGACAGCAAGGCTTTCCCGTTACCTTACGGTTCAGACCGGTATTTGGGATTCATGAAAATTATGAACTTTCACACCTGCAATAGTAATTAGTTTTCACTGGGAATCATGTGACAACCATTCTCCACGGCACTTCAAGACCATCCTCGATATATATATATCCTTCATATTCCGTAACTTCCTCAGCTCTCTGGCAAGGCCAAGATACTGATCGATTTTCTTCGTTATCTTTCTTCTTCTTCTTCTTCTTCTTCTTCTTCTTCTTCTTCTTCTTCTTCTTCTTCGTATTATTATTATTATTATTATTATTTTGTTTCCTTTGATTTCTCGTGTACACTTATTTCTTCCCGGGTCCCAACTAGAGACGTAAGGTCAGAAATGGTACCATGACATTTTCCACTGAGCATCTAACCCTAACGCTGCCATCCGGATGGCATCAGTCACTTATATGGATTTCGAATTGAAATCTTTTTTTTTTTTTTAAGACTCTTCAAATTCGTTTCAAGCGCTCCAAGACTGATGGGAAGAATTATTATTATGTCTGGTATCATCTTTGCAGAGAGTAATATTAAGTACCTATTTATCAAGTACCCTATGGGGTTTGTCAGTAAAAGGGTACTCTCTTTTGGTGTATATTTGGGACGTTTTCTTTAGATGAAGAGGGTTTTGCGGAAGATTTGAGCAGTTCCGCACAAAATAATCTTTTGTCGCTCTGGCACGCAGATGTGTCTGGGGATTTTACTAAACCTGATTTTCGATACCCTTCTTTATCATACCCAATACCCTATTATTATTATTATTATTATTATTATTATTATTATTATTATTATTTCCTTTGATTTCTGGCGTGTACACATTTCTTTCTGGGTTCCGCCCAGGGACCTAAGGTTAGAAATGGCATCATGACACTTTCCACTGACAAAAAAAAAAAAAAAAATTACATAGATAAAGCCTTTCGTAAAGTGTGGGCTTTACTTGTCAGAACAATTTTTTTGTATCTCTTTGAGGCATGGACTTCCAGGAATCCCTTCAATTAGTCTACTGGAATCTTTTCCAACTAATCCTAGGGCTCCAACTACAACAGCGATTGTTGATGTTCCCATGTGCCACATTTTTAAGATTTCGATTTTATTATTATTATTATTATTATTTATATCTTCGTACTAAAGATATATACTACCTCTTGATAAGGTTCAAGTTACAGTAAGTCATCTTAATTGTCTAGTACTCATGTATTTTTAGTAGTTTCAGTTGTTTGATTATTATTATTATTATTATTATTATTATTATTATTATTATTTGTGTCTTCATAGCATAGCTGCTTTGTGGACCGACTCCCAAGAGGATGCTTTTTCGGTCACTACAATCTTAACCTATCTAAGGTTAACATTTATCTTCCACACATATCCCCATAACCTGTGTCTCTTAATCTGCAACCGTCTACCTCGAGTGGCTCTTAGGCCTTGTACAGTGTGAACATCAATGTAAAAAAACAAACAGGTGGCTATCTGGATGGGTCAAATAATAGCAGACTTTACTAATTCGCATAACAGCCATAAAACTGAAGGGTGGCCTAAATGGAAAAAAGAAAGTTTTTAAAGTTTTAATTTATTTTTTGTTTAAAAGATCTCAATCCAGCCATGAAGCCCTTACAAAAAAAATTAATTTTTTTTTTTTTTTTTTTTTTTTTTTTTTTTTTAAATACATAATCTTTACCTATTTTTTCTGGTCTTGGGAAATGGACCGAACCAAGAACATTTCAGCCCCAACTTTTATTTCAGTTCTTCCTCGAATCTCGATTGTAACTCACGGAAATGCTGCAAGTGCTCTAATAACCAAAAGTACTACTGTTAAATTTATATTTCTGCATCTCTTGAACATCGTCCTAATACTTATCTGCTTCATTGCTTTCATTTAGTTTATTCGTAAATTTTCTCACCCGGTACCTCTAAGTAGAGATCAAGTGACACGAATTTTTTCAACAAAGTCACCACCCTCCTTTGTATTCTGGATGATTTCAACAACACCAGCGTCTGCAGAATTCCAATCCTTTGGATTTCGAATTCTCTCGATAGATTTGATCTTTCATTTTTGTGGAAGAGACAACTGTGTGGATGCTTCCCCGAACGCTGAACTTCCAGTCAAACACTATTCGCTATCTATCCTGCATATGCTCACTTCTTACGCTTACATTAATATCACACACCTCATTCAGTAACCCTCTACTTTGAGCTACTCTCGAGCCTTGTATGGGATGAACCGTAACTTGTAGAGACTGCACAGCTTTGCCTGCTATTTAACTCATACCTGGAGGAAAATAGAATCATGCCTTTTCCAAGGACGTTAGCGGGAACTGAACTCGGCATGTCTTATCATTACACCACCCTCACCTCAGGGTGAACATAATAATAATAATAATAATAATAATAATAAGAAGAAGAAGAAGAAGAAGAAGAAGAAGAAGAAGCGGAATAATAATAATAATAATAAAATTAATAATAATAATAATAATAATAATAAGAAGGAACATAATAATAATAATAATAATAATAATAATAATAATAATAAAATATTATATTTTCAAACCGTAAGTTCTATGCTAACAGTTTCTTCTCTCGCACTTTTCGCTTGACAACTTTGATTTAAAAAAAAAAGTAAAACGAATGTCAGTACTGTCTTCCTGATTACTCTTCTATTCTTCTCCCTCCTTAATAATGTTTCTCGTTTCATTTTTATTCATTCTCACTCAGTAACCGCTTTACTGCCTTACATGGGGTGAAATGATTTTAAATAAAATTACTTCGATTATTCACGGTCAAATTTTACAGCAGGTAATTTTCAAGGACAAGTGATACGTTTCTTTGTCCGTTTGCAGCGTTTAAAATCAATGTGCATCGACTCTCCTTCAGATTGCTGTTAAGTTGAACTTGACTTTTAATTTTCATTACAGACTTCTTTAACTAAACGGTATTATATTCTCAGCGTAGATACACATTGGTCTTTAAGATGATTCTGAGTTCCTGTTTGGTGATCTATTCCAACGTTCAAATCTTCAATACAATCATCATTGGCGTTTCAATTCTGTGCGGGTATCCTAGGAGTAAACGTCGGTTTTACGTAATCAGATTCCTTTGCTATCACCAATATAGGAGCAATAGCCTCGTATCCGAAATCTTATTGTCCTGGCCCGTGTTTGAACCCAGATAGCCAAACTTCATTGACAATATTTCTCTTGTCGTCTGTTCGCACAAGTATGAGAAAATATATTTATTATGAGCCGACAACAATCAACAAGTCTCCCTTCTGACCTGGGAGTATGTTTTGCCGTTTTCAGCAATCTAACTATTTACATTCTTTCTTTCTTTCTTCCTTTCTTTCTTTCTTTCTTTCTTTCTTTCTTTCTTTCTTTCTTTCTTTCTTTCTTTTGTTTTGTTTTCTTCCTTTTTTTCTTTATTGCCTTTCTAGTCTTCTTTCTTTTTAAAATTTTCTTTCTTTCTTTTTTTTTTATTTATTTTTCTTTATTTATTTATTTATTTATTTATTTATTTATTCCATATTCAAACCTATCGTTTTCTTTCTTTTTTCTTTCTTTCTTTCCATAATTAAACCTATCGTTTTCTTTCTTTCTTTCTTTCTTTCTTTCTTTCTTTCTTTCTTTTGTTTTGTTTTCTTCCTTCTTTTTCTTTTTTTACCTTTCTAGTCTTCTTTCTTTTTCCTTTCTTTCTTTTTCTTTCTTTCTTTCTTTCTTTCTTTCTTTCTTTCTTTCTTCCATCTTTTTCTTCCTTACCTCTTTAGCCTTTCTTTTCTTGTTTGTTTCCTTTCCTTCTTCCTTTATTTCTTTTCTTTTTTCTTTTTATTCTTTATTTCTTCTCTTTTCTTTTCTTTTCTTTTTTCTTCTTACCTTCCGTTCTTTTATCTTGCTCTCTTCCTTTTTCTTTTTCTTTCTTGTGTCGTCTTGGTTTCTTCCTGCTTTTTCTTTCTTTCTTTCTTTCTTTCTTTCTTTCTTTCTTTCTTTCTTCTTACCTGTCATTCTTTTTGTTTTACATTCTTCCTTCTTTTTGCATCTCTAGCGTTATTTCTTCTTTCCTTTCTTTTCATTTTCCTTCTAACCTTTCTTCTTTCTTACCTTTCTTCTTTTATTTTCTTATGTCTCATTCTTTATTTTCTTTATTCCTCTTGTTTTACTTGCGTTTGTCTTGCTTTTCTTTCTTTTTTCTTACATTTCCTTTCTTTTATTTTCACCTTTATTTTTATCTTGTTTTCTTTCTCTTTCTCTTTCTCTTTCTTTCTTTTTTTCTTTCTTTCTTTTCTCTGACTTCCTTTTTTTTATCCATTTTCTTTTCTATTTTCTTTTTTTCATTCATCTTTATTTTTTCACTTTTTTCTTTCCGATTTTTCGGTTGATTTCTTCTTTACTGCCTTTTATTTTTATTTTTAAAATACTTATTTTTTAATTTACTTTTCTTTATTTAATATTTTCCTTCCTCTGTTTTCTTTCTTTTCGTTGTCTTTGTTTTTTAAACTATTTTACTTTTTAATATTTCATGTCTTTTCATTTCGTATTGTTTAATTTGAAATGTATATTTTTTTTGTTTTATCGTAATTTTTTTAAGTCTTTATTTTATTTTTTTTTAATTTGTCTTTTTTTTCGTTTTTGAACATCATACCAATTATTATTTTCTTTTTTTTGTTTTTTTTTTTTTTTTTTTTCTTTCATCTTTTTTTAAATCTCCTATCTTTTACTCTTTTTTGCTTTCATTTTTTCTTTTCACTCTTTTTTTCTTTTCTATTTTCTTTCCCTTCCCGGTTATTTTTCTTTGCTATTTTTTCTTTATTTTACTATTTTCCTTTTTTTTTTTTTTTATTCTTTTTTTATTTTTTCTTTCTTTCTTTCTTTCTTTTTTCTTGCTTGCTTGCTTCTTCCATATTCAAACCTATCATTTTCTCCTTTCTTTCTTTCTTTTTTTTTTCTTTCTTTCTTTCTTTCTTTCTTTCTTTCTTTCTTGCTTGCTTGCTTGCTTGCTTCCCATATTCAAACCTATCGTTTTCTCCTTTCTTTCTTTCTTTTTTTTCTTTCTTTCTTTCTTTCTTTCTTTCTTTCTTTCTTTCTTTCTTTCCATATTCAAACCTATCGTTTTCTTTGTTCTTTCTTTATTTTTTCTTTCTTTCTTTCTTTCTTTCTTTCTTTCTTTCTTTCTTTCCATACTCAAACCTATCAAACGATCTAGTAAAGTAATCAAAAGATATCCTGAAACAACAACAACAATTGTATTCGTTAAATTACAAGAAGACAATGAAGAAAAAAGAACGGGCAAAAAAAGATCCTCCACTTTTCAAGTACATTTTCTCTCATTCTTGTTCGAGATATTTTTTCTGTTATTCTTTTATTTCACCATTCTGTTATTCTTTTATTTCACCATTCTGTTATTCTTACCCTATAATTCTGTTTTCGCATATTGTTATTCTGCCATTCTGTCCTTTTAATAGCATTCAATATAATTATTTAAATTCTTCTCTGATTCAATTCCACTGATTTATTCCGTCTCACTTCAGAGGCGTTTCGTTGTCAGGAAGAAGCTTCCACACACGTTTCGCAGTTAAATTGCATCTGGAACGTTCGATCCCCAGTAGGTGCGCGCCATCTAAACAGCCAAGCAAACAATGATGACTTATCGAGTTCGATCCTTAACGAATGTTACGCACTGTTAGTTATTTGTTTGTTTTTATTTATTTATTTATTTATTTACTAATTATGTTTAACCTAACGTTGGAGTAATGGAGAGCCGAGTTCGAATTCCAATCGAATCTATTATATTCACTTACGTGCTAATACCCTTGGGAAATGTATTAATCTTCTTCTATAGCCTTGCATGGCAACTGGTCTACCGAAGAAAGAAATGGCAACCTACTGCGGGAAAAATTTTGCCTCGTCAGTCATGTATCGAAAGATACATGATCGTCTAAGCGTGTATCACGCATGGCATATAACTGACTGATCCTTGGAAAAGGTATGAATCCTGTTCTTCTCCCGACCCCCGCCAGCTATGGGTAAATAGCAAGACATACCGGGTTCTATAGCCTTGGCTAGCAACTGGTCTACCGCAGAAAGAAACTACTGCAAGAAAAATCTGCCTCGTCAGTCATGTATCGAAAAATAGATGCTTGCTTAAGCGTGTATCACGTGTGGCACATAACTGACTGACTGATTTACTTACAAATACTTCTTAAGGAAGCAAATTTATCCAACGAGAACTTTCTTTCTGTACTGATGTCGATCCTCATTGGGTGTTTTTTTTTTATTATTATTTGTAACTTTAAGCCAAGTCGAATAAATATGTATAAGGACATCTTAACGAAGAGGAAACTTGTCTGCAGCATTTTCACTGTTGTAATGAGTTCGATCCTTATTATCGTCTTTTATTTGTAAATTTGTTTCAAACTGTGTAAACATCAATTATTAGAGCAAGATTGTCTAATATGTTGTAATGAGTTCGATCCCAATAAGAATGCCCTTGTAAAATTAAACATAATGAAGCTAAGCTTAATATGTACCCATTCCATATGTAGACAGGTAGAACATTTATTTCCTCTTCATCTATATATTGGTCAAGTATAAAACAATCATTGGCTCACGTCTGTGTCTGGCTTTTGACTGGACATATAACCAGCTTTTCCAAGTCTTCTTTTTATCGCAGATCCTATTAATAAGGCCAATACTGTCGTTTTCGTCATCGCCGACATTCAGTCAAATAATTCTCTTTTTGTTAATTTTATTTCCTTTCTGTTTAATTCATTTTTGTTGTTATTTAGTTGATTGACCTCTGATGATTATCGAAATCCGAAAGTGAGCCTATTGATGTGCGCCTACGCACAAAAACAAGCATGCAAACATAGATAGATAGATAGATAGATAGATAGATAAAAGTTTAATGAAATTGGTAAGGTTATACATATAAATATACTAGACTTCAATAATTTACAAATTTAAGTTTAAAGCTGGCATCTTTTTTTTCCTTCCCATCCACCAGTATATATATATATATATATATATATATATATATACATGAATTATTCACACAAAACTAATGCAAAGGTTAATGATTTAAATGGCGAGACATCCATCATCGCAAACAATTCAAATAGTACACAAAAACCTCCAGATCCGTTATGAATGAATTGATCCTTGTTTATATAAATTTCTGCCGTATTAGTTGTTATATATATATATATAAAACTGACACAAACGATAAAACCATATATAGTCTAGAAGTTCTTCTCGGAAGAAAACGCTTTACTAGGGATTTTTGTTCATTTTGTCATTACATGACACGAGATACAAATGTATTGAGATAGATAGATAGATAGATAGATAGATAGATAGATAGATAGATAGATAGATAGATAATCTGTTCAGATATCAAAAATTGGGAGATAGATAGATAGATAGATAGATAGATAGATAGATAGATAGATAGATAGATAGATATGAAAAGACGGTGAATGTCAGATAAATAGACAGATAGATAGAGAAAGAAAGAAAGAAAAAGTAAGAAAAGTTTATAGATAGATGTTGAATGAAAGAAATAAAAAGGTGATAGAAAAGTCTTTTGAGATAGATAGATAGATAGATAGATAGATAGATAGATAGATAGATAGATAGATAAAAGTTGTGTAGACAAAGGAATCAACACTTCGTTGTAACTGCCATTTTCTGAAGAAGTCTTGAAGCCTGAAATTGACTATCACTATGCAGTGTTGTTTCCTATGTCCAAACTGTCTATGCCCCAAAACGCTGTCTTCACTACTGAACACAGTTCCGCTTAATACAGCAAATCTTAAACAATGTATAATATAAAAAACAATAAACACACACAGGCACACAGACACACAGATACACACACATATAATATTAAGTGAAAATATATAATACATATAAAACCTATATATATTTATATAATACATCCAAATCATATATATATATATATATATATATATATATATATATATATATATATATATATATATATATATATTGTGTATACGGAATAAATTCTGATAACCAACAAATACTATTCTTAAACGAGTGCTCAATACAGAGGAGAACATATAACATATAATGATTTATTCGAAAATTATAGCATAAAAATGTTATAAAATTAGGTTCTTTTACAAAAATGCCATTTTTTCAACACTTGAAAGGTATCTTCTCAACAAAATGAATTATTTTGTAACATTTTATAAGATTAGATGTGTATAAAACAAAACGTCTGTATATTATATATATATATATATATATATATATATATATATATATATATATATATATTATTTTTATTTTATTACCTAAACTCGAGCGCTTTGAAAAAATCAGATAATACAATTGTAAATAAAGAATATTAGACAATTGATATCAAGTCACTTACCATTCGCCTGAAGAGGCACAATATACTACCTAAACACGAAAGCTATTTTGTAGCTATTTCAAAATGTTTTTGTTCTAATATCTAAAATATTAATAATAAAAATAATAATAATATATAATTAACAAATCGGAGACTTCAGAAAGCCATGGCAATATTTTATTTCGCGAAATCGATAATGCGAGTTCGCTTCGTCAGACCAGGCGGTTTCAAAACAAAGAATGGATTCAAAAATTCTTTCAGGAATCAAACGAAAAACAAGATTAACGAATATTGTGTTTTAAGATAGTTCCACAAATTAGAAGTTTCTGAAGTCTCCGATTTGTTTATTAATTTTTACTTGCTCTGTTTATTACATTGATATCTTGGGATTTATATCCTCCCCGGAATTATCCATACGGATTACCAATGAACTTTATTAAATATATATATATATATATATATATATATATATAAGAATATAAGGAAATTTTGAAATTAGTTCCCCGATTTTCCGGCGTCATCAGAAGCAGAAAGTTATTTGCCAAGAACGAAATCTGGACAAAACGTGATTCCCGCAAAACGACTGAATTCTTTAATTTAGTATTCATTGTTTCATGGAAATTAGATTTCAACTCACTTCAACTTATTTATTTTTTATTTTTCTCATTATTTATTCATGGTTTACGCATCACATATGGTTCCCGTGTGAATTCAGTAAGGACATGGATGAACAGAACTGACATAACCCCCCACTTACCCACTAGTCGTATATTATGGTGGGGGGCTTCATGTACATCTAGGCACTTTTCACCGCATCTTTGAGTAAATTATGAAAAATTACGCGCGCTGACGCCAAATCTAAATCACAATTCGTTGCCTAAATGCAGATTTTTTTTGTGGGATGTGGGGGAATGAAATAATTCTTTTCGAATGCAGCCAGATTATCGGCGAATCATGTCAAAGTAAAATCTGTTTCTATAGTGTGTGATATATTTACCACTCTGTCGGATACTCTCCCAAGTTTCTGTCTATATTTCTGAGATGAGGTATTATGTACATTATTTACATTATTCGGACTATTGTCCTCATCTTTGTCGCCATATCTATCACAACATTTCGGCGGTTGTACGCTCCGGCCTTCTTCAGGTGGTTGGAATGTCGAACTGAACCCTATATTTCGCTCACTGGGGTAGACTGTTCTAGTTTCACGTGCCATGTTTTGATGGATGTCAGTTATCAAGAAATTAGCACACACACAAATACGCAAACATACAAATACACATGCACTTCTGAGAAAATGTCAGATAAAGTATATCTTTAAAAGAACAATATTAATAAAGAGAAAAGGAAACCTTATCGTAGCCGACGAGGAATAAAATATAAAAATATATTAAAATAATTGTCAGACATACTTCATTTCATAAGATATTATGTAATTTGCTTACGTTAACATACGCTTCTAGTAGATATGAGCGTTCGAGAGAAATTATGGGAAGTTTGTAGCTCTAAAATATATATATATATATATATATATATATATATATATATATATATATATATATATATATAGGTAACTATACTCGTCTCGAAAAAACTTCGAATTTTTGATTTGCCAATAATCAAATCAATATCGAATAAAAAAAAAAAGGTTTTAAAAAAGAAAGAGCTAGAAACATGAAAGTCTGTCGAAAAAAAAAATCAGAGATACAGGTTTTTCTAAAAAAGAAAAAACCCCGACACGAATAAACAACTAACTAAAAAAGAGCTCAATACAACCGTAGAGCAGACCTAGATAAACCTAGTGAGCCAGAAAAACCTGCCCAGGTTTCACCTAAGACATCATTTTCAGTTTAGGGTGAAACCTCTTATTTTCTACATAGCATGAAAATATATAATATATATATATTATATATATATATATATATATATATATATATATATATATATATATATATATATATATATATATATATATATATATATATACAAAAAATAAATACAAGTAATTTAACATATATATTATATTCAAATAAAACTATATATTTATATTTATATATATATATATATATATATATATATATATATATATATATTAAGAAATGAACAAAAGTCCGACAATTTATTTATTAAAGACATTTTATTATCTATAAAAAGAACGTTAAACATAAAAATGTCTTTAATAAAATATATATATATACAAACATATATATATAGCGTCACTATATATATCTATATATATATATTAATAATAATTTTTTTTTTCATCGCTGTTTGGTACATCATGAGTTTTATGCGTGTTTATAAAAGACGTATAAAATTTAAATATATATTTATAACCTACTATTTAAGAATTTTTAAACAGTCCATTTCCAAAAATATATATATATATATATATATATATATATATATATATATATACAGAGAGAGATAGCGAGATTTTTTAGAGATATTGTGTTATTAAATAATTTGTTTGTAGTGTTATTTAATATTTGTACTTGTATAGCTGTACTGTTTTGTCATTTCACCCTAAATAAGGCAATAAAGCCGCTGAGGCGAATGTAATTTCTCTGTGTGAAAGAATATGAGAAAAAAATACTATTAAGGAGCGAGAACTATAAAAGAACAGGAATAAAAAAGACAGGAGAAAATGATTAACGTTGCCTTCAAATACTTGAAGATTGAAGCAAGTTTTTTCGTTTTATCAAATTTAAAGGGTTATTAATTTCTTTTTAAATTTTTTTTTTTTTTAGATAATAATTGTTTACTAATACGAGTTCTACTAATTAACCTGAAGCTGTAGGGGGGGGATGATATGGAGTAATATCATTCGCAAGAATATTTGTGCGTAAGTGAATATAACGAACCAGACTGGAATTCGAACTCGGTTCTCTGATTTCTAATTCTAAAGCGTTATCCATCACACCACCATCCAAAGATACTGATATTCTCCAGTGGTCACCCATCAAGGAAATGACCAGGCCCGAAATTGCTGAACGTCGCTGATTCATGTAAGAATCGGTGTTTCTACATGATATGGTCGTAAGCCTTTGGAAAGCAAAACGAGAAGTGCGAGAGATGAAACTTGAAGAAAACTTTTATATATATATATATATATATATGTATGTGTGTGTGTATGTGTATGTGTGTGTATGTATGTTTGTGTGTGACAAAAAATTTAATTATTTCAGCTTAACCTTTAAAGGATGAATTTATTTCTGCAAAATTCCAACTCAAGCATTGAGCCATTTTACTTTATCCATGTGGGAATTCATATCGATTAAAAAAAATTTTATAGATATATATAAAATATATATAGAATATATATATATATATATATATATATAAATAAATATATATATATTTCATCCAAGACAGACTGTTTCGCAGCTCAACAGAATCTAGACATCAGGGTAGAAAAAAGCTTTTCGAAACCCGACCTGAAATGGTGTAAAAGTTTGAGATTCTAACCATTAAGCCATCGGCGCACGGTAATGAGGTAAGTGGATTTTTTAGCCTGATTTTTTTACAAAACACCCAGTGACCAGGGTGAGTGACTCAATTCGCATTAGCGGAGAGTCTCCATATATATAGCTAGAATAATAGTCACTGTTTAGAAACGGACATCTCCTCCCCAGAGAGCTCAACTGAAATTAATTTTTCAGGAGCCAATATATTATCATCCACAGACAGACTGCAATTTATGTTTAACAGCTCATCAGTGTGACTAGATAATCCGGTCATATTTCACATACAAAAAAATTATAATATATATATATATATATATATATATATATATATATATATATATATATATATATATATATAAATATTTTCTTTTTTTCAAATAACAGATTATTCCATAAACAGATGAACAGATATTTTTTTTCAAGCTGATAAATAAGAAACCAAATTATTTTTTGTAAATTTGAAAACGCAGATAAACATGCTGAATAATGGATGCCTATGTTTGTGAGCAGGCACCCTCATTACCCATATAAACTTAACCTGACTTTATAATATATATATATATATTATATATATATAGTTGTCTAAGCTGATTAAAACCCATTTTATTAAATCAAAATAGATTGAATTTTCAAATTTTTAAGAAAAAATATTAATGTCTGCGCTAATAAATTAAGAAAATTTTCAGAATGTTATTTCAAAACATCGCTTGACAATGGAGAAAAAAAAATTTTAAGTTTACTTTTTATATTTAAATTTGCAATATTAGTTTCATTTTTGGAAACATAGAAATATCTGTGTCGCAATGGAATCATATTTTTGA